CTCCCCGCCTCCCTCGCCGCCCTCCCCGCCGCCGCCGTTCTCGCCGCCGCGGCCGCGCCTGCGCCGCTGCAGCGCCTCCGCCATGGCAGCCAGCGCGGCCCCTGGGCTCTGGTCGGTCAACGGCACCGCCGCCAGCCGCTCCAGATTGCTCGCCGCGGCCGGGCCGGCGGCTGGATAGTAGCTGAGCCCGCCGCCCTCCGGCGCCGCGCGCACGCTGCCGCCGCCGTCGTCGCTCGCGGCCGCGGTCGCGGCGGCGGCGAACCTGACCCCGTGCTCCCGCGGCTGCTGCGGCGGCGGGGCTTCGCTGTCATTAGCGGACGAGGGCGGCGGGCGCGGCGCCGCGCCCGAGGCGCCGGGCCCCCGCTCATGCGCCGCGCGCTCCGCCAGCTGGCGCTGCATTCGCCGCACCGCCTCGTTCAACATGAGCACCCTGCCGCTCGCCGTCCCCACCGCGCCCGCCGCCTCGCCCCCGCCGCCGGCCGCCTGCCCGCTTCCGTCGCCTTCCGCCTCCCCGCCGCCGCCGGCGCCGGCGCCGGGCGCCGCCTCGCGCCTCGTCAGCGCGTCGGTTTCCTCGTAAAGCTCAACAACCAGATCCGCCAGCAGGTCTGCGGCCTCCTTGTACACCGCAGCCAGCTGCTCCAGGGCCCAGGCGCTCGTGTACCAGGGGAACACGAGGTTCTGCACCGCGACCGCCCACAGCGCCGCCGCCGCGACCGCGCCGCCGCGCACGATGGCCATCGTGGTCGACCCCGTGTGGCCCGTGCAGCAGGGCGTGAACTGGCAGAGCACGACCGAGGCGATCGTCATCAGCGTGTAGAGCGTGACGAGGGTGTTCCTCGATCGTCCGAGGCAGCCGACGCAAAAGGCGACGGCGCAGATCACGGCGGCGAGGGCGAGGGCGTTCTCGGCAAGTGCGGCGTGGGACATGAGGGCCCAGCCGACGGCGGCGCCGACGACGGCGCTGCCGACCCAGATGACCACCTGGCGTGAGGTGGGGGGTGCATAGTTTTGGTGGCGGGCGTGCCCGCGTGTGCGCATGTGTGTGAGTGTGCATGTGTGTGTGTGTGTGTGTGTGTGTGTGTGTGTACACGCGTTGTGTCAGGCCAGCTTTTTGCAGCAGATCAGATCTAATCGGTGCACCCGGCGCAGGGTCCTGACCCCTTGTGCTGTTCCCATAACGTCACCCAAGGGCGCGAGCCTGCGGAGAGCGGCCTCCCCTCCCCTCATCTCACCTTGAAGACTGTGGCCTCAACACGGTCCGCCATGCCGACCGCAGCCGCAGAGTAGCCGAAATTGGGGGCGTACCTGCGAGTCAGGGTCCGAGTGCGCGTGAATGCATGCGTGCATGCATGCGTGTGCATGTGCTTCGGCATGGCATGTGTGTATGTGTGTGCGTGTGTGTGTGTGTGTGCGCGCGCGGTGGGGATATACCCTCGATGATGTGGACGGGGTGCAGCCTGGGTACCGATCCACAAATTCACACGTGGCAACGGCGACGGCAGCTTCGAGGTGGCAGCAAAACAGGTGCCAGGGCAAGATGGCACGCGCCAGCGCTGGAGGGAGGCAAAAAGGCGCGCCTGTATGCCGAGGGGATGTGGTACTGAACCAGCAGCAGCGCCACCAGCACGGTGCTGATGACAAACCAGTACTTCACACCTGCGATGAAGCGGCGCCCCTTGATTTGCCGCAGGAAAGCTGGGGGTGGGCGGCCGCAGGGCAGGAGGAGGGTCAGCAACATATCATATTGGAAGCTGATGGCGCGAAAACGCGGGCGATGGTGAGGTGTGGTGCATGCAGCACAGCAAGCTGAGGGCAAGGGAGATGCATGACACAGTCAGGCAAAGTCTGATGAAACACAGAGCCCAAATGGGCCGCGTGCTCACCCTGCTTGCTGCTGAGGGCGGCAGGCAAATCTGTGCCAAAGGTCTTTCTGAGGCTCCTGTACTGCTCCACGTTGAGCGCCAGCGGCAGCCACGGCCGCAGCCACGCAGTGTGCCGCCGCGCAAACCCCTGCAGCGCGGCCGCCGCCCTCTCGGCACGCGACGGCCCCGCCTCGGCGGCGGCGCGCGGACCCTGGACTGGATCGCCCGCCTTGTGCGTCAGTGGCGGCGCGCCGTTGGCAGGGCCGGGGCTCCCGTTCAGGCCTGCTGCTGCCCGCCCTGCCTCCACATCTATATCAGTCGCCTTATTTGACGTCGCCCCGTCCTGCTTCGCCCGCGCCGGCGCCTGCGCCCCGCCGCCAGGCAGACCGCAGCAGCCGCAGTGACGGCAGGCGCGCGGCCCCGCGACGGCGGCGGCGGCCGCCTCCACCAGTCCGTCGACGGCGTCGGCCACCCCGCGCGTGGCCAGCTGGAAAAACATCCAGCGCCGCACCTGCGGGCCGGCGCCGCAGTAGAATGTGCCGCCGCTGAGAACTATGAGATGTGTGCGACGCGGTCAATCGTGGAGCAGCTGCGCTGCTTGAAAAACTCATGATTATGCAGGGGGCCGGGAGGCGTCACGCTGCCGCCGTTCACTCAAAGGGCGCGATTACGTCCCGAGCCCCGCGCCCCCACGTCTGCCGATAAGACACAGGGCCGTCCGCGAGGGACTGGTCCGCACCCAGTGCGCGCGCGGCAGCGTGACGGGCGCCTCTGGCGTGGCGTCGTGGATGATGCGCCAGTAGCGGATCAGGGCCGCCTCCACCAGGTCAGCGTGGCGCTCGCGCGCGCCGCGCCACTCCTCGCGCTGCGCGCGCGGGGCGCGGGGGAGGGTGGGGTTGCGGTTGGCAGTGGGAGGTCGCACGAGGCGGGTGGGCGGCGGAGCCGGGTCCGTGAACGTGGGCAGGTGAGGGTCGGCTGAGGAGGGAATGCTCGGGCCAGCGCATGTGAGACGCAGTCACTTTTCAGGCAATTCTCATGCTTGATCAACACACGCCCGCACGAATCCACACAAACACAACCCACCTCCCCGCCATGAACACACACACACACACACACACACCTGCAGGACGTCTCTCATCGCGACGCACTCCGCCCCCGCATCGTCCCTGTCGGCCAGCTGCCGCGCCACCAGCGCCAGCGCCGCCGCTGCCGACGCGTACAGCCCCTGCACCAGCGCCTCGTATTCGGGCATCACCGGGAAATCGGGCGACTCGTCCAGCAGGGCGGCGTGGTCTCGCTGCACCAGGTCCAGGGCGCTCAGCCTTGAGGGCGCGTTGGGTTTCAGAGGTTTTAGAGGAGAGCATGTTCAGGGTTTTGGGGCACCAACGAGTGGTACGGTCTGCCGGGGTGTGGCATGCACTATGCGTCAAGCTGGAAGGGCTCTGCAGATTGAAACGGAGAGCGGTTGAGGGTTGAGCTGTGACAAAGCAGGCGCTGCTGTTGCGGTCGCTCATGATATGCACCCAAGTATTTGCCCTGCGCCCTGCCCGCCCAGGTTGCTGCGCCCCCATCGCTCTGCACCTGAGCGCCAGCAGCTGGCCCGCGGCGATGACCTTGGCCCACGCGGCGCGATCGAACCGCCGAGAGCAGCCGCGCAGCCACTGAGGCTCTGTGGCGGCGGCGTCTAAGAGCTGGTTTGAATGGGCGAGCAGCTGCCTCACGTCTGCGATGCTGGGCGCCGGCGAGACGGCGCCCGCCGCCTCAGCCAGCCTGTCGCCCGCCACGGAGCCGCCGCGCGGCGCCGGCCGCGGCGCCGGCGGCGCTGATGCGGCCGCCTTTGCGCGCGCGGCGATGGTGGACGTCGCGGCGGCGCTCGAGCCCAGGCGCAGGCCGCGCGGCTGGCTGGCCGCCCGCGTGTGCCGCCACCCTTGGGAGCCGCCTGATGCCGCCGGCGGCGCCCCGAGCGCGTGATGCGAATCGACCCCGCGAGCGCCGGGCCCGCCCCCGGTCGCCAACAGCGACGCGGCGCGGGCATCAGACAGCCCGGAGTCTCTTCTTATCAAGGCGCTCGCGCTGTTCCCTCTCGTGACACGACCAGCACCCGAATTGGGGCCAGGGGCATCACCGTGGCCGCCCTCGCCCTCGGCCTCGCCCTCGCCGCCGCCATCCTTGGAGAGGCCGAAGAGCAGGGCGCCGTCGGAGTCTCCGAGGCCGTCCCAGTCGTCGGCGGCGTCGATGACGGCGGCAGCCACTGCGGCGGCTTGGCCTGCGGGGTGGGGAGTCGGGGGCGTTGCGTGCAGCGGCCATAAGTGCAGGGCAGCTTACCTGGCGGTGCGCACTGGGCGCTGCCTGGCGTGGCACTGGCAGGACCACACGGAGCAGCGGCCGGGAACATAACTCGGTGCACCTCTACAGCGGCCATGTGGTGATTTTGAACAGTCAGCCACCACCAGGAAAGTGCACAGGCTCAACACCCTCCCGGCGCCAAAAGCTCATCACAAGGCGGCCTGCCGGCCTGCCTCGTAACACAGTGCGTATGCACGTGCGTGTGCACACACACACACACCCACACATACACACCTCACACGCACACACACCTCACACGCACATGCACGCATGTGCACACACATTTGCCACAGCGGCCGCCCCTCCACACCCATGTATCCCTCGCACTCGCTGGGTCTGCGCCGTAGAAGGTGCTCTTGGCGCGCGTGCTGCTGAAGGACCCCGAGCTGCGCCGCGCCGCCAGGCACGACGCCAGGCTCTTGCTGCGGGCGGCGGCGTCCTCTGGCGGCCGGCTCATGTGCTCAAACCAGTCCATCAGCGCGACGTACACCTCGTTGGCGTTGAACTGCGTGCCGGGTTTTGTGGGGTAGGGTTGGTGATAGGGTGCGAGGAGCGGACCCGGCGCGCTGGGGGATAGCTTGGTGCAGACTAGGTTGAAAGATCGAAATTCTTGGAGCCAACAAACTTGGGGTATAAAAACTGCCAAGGACGCCTGCTCCACTGGTCTCTTTTGAGCAAACGTCCCAACCCCTCCCCAGACCCAATTATTGGGCCGTAATCCCTCTGCTACTGTTCCGTGAGCTGCCGCCACCACTCAAGAGGCCCTGATTCTCCGCACGCCGCCTGTCCCTTGCCCCTGTCCGCGGCACGCCAGCCCCGCCCACTTGCAATTAAAACCCCAACTCCTTCCCTTGATTGCAAGCAATCGCCATCCCCGCACACCCAACCACACACCCTCGCCCGCACATGATGACGACCCCCAACACCCCCACCCCCTCCCCTGCACCACCCACCAGCCCCAGCGCCTCTTTGTCCACCAGCCCCGGCACCAGGGCACTGCCCGGCACATCTCTCGGCCCCAGCAGCAGCGGATGCATGCCCTGCATGTGCCCCGGCAGCGGCAGCAGCGCGCCGCCGCCGCCCTCGCGGCGCAGCAGGTGGGATGCGACCGAGGTGAGGTGGTGGCCCAGGGACCGCAGCGCCAGGCTGACCTCGTCCTCGAGCTGATGACGTCACCAGAGGGTCGGGAGTAGGGCGGAGGTGGGGTTGGGGTTGGGGGTAGGGGTTCGTTGCATGTGTCGGTGCGGCAAGCAGGGCGTGAGGAAATGTCTGAGCACGGCTACAGGTGACAATGCGGCGCAACCATCCTGCAGGCCCCACTCCACGCAACACACGCCACCAATCTGGCTTGGCAGCCCGCCAAGCCAGATTAGCTGCCCATCCGCGCCATCCCATGCTCTCGGTGTCATCCACGGGCCAAAGCAGCATGAAGTTATGCCCCCTGCAAGAGCAGGCGCTGCCCTAGCACACCCACCTTGTGTGACGCGAGTGAGGGCAGCACCACCATCGACAGCACCGACCCCGCAAACATGGCTATCAGCGCCGCCAGGAACACCAGCGCCACAGATCGCGTCCAGAACTGCTGCACGTCCTGAAAGGGCCAGCCGGCCACGATGGGCAGCCCCACGTACAGGGCCGACACCATGCCCATCGCCCAGAGGAACGGGTGGCCGACGCCGACGCGGTTGGCGGCGAACGGGATGAGGACCAGGGGGCCGAGGGTGGCGAGGATGAGCAGGTGGCCCAGCGGGGTGGGCGCGAGCTTGGCAAAAGTGCCCTGGGGTGTGTGGGGCGGGGCGGGGGAGGCGGCGATGGGTCAGGACGGCGGCAGGGCATGGGGCCGCGAAGTGCTGCAGCCAGCCTGGTGGATGTCGTTTTAAAGCGCAGAGCTGCCTCAAGGTGATCGGGACCCGTCAGCTCCGCTCTGCGGGCCGTGCTCGCGTGCTGCAGCAGCAGGCGCGCGTCCGCAGGCCAGGCCTTATCGCTTTCACCAGCCGCTGCGCGCCAGCCGCGCCCGCCCCGGGCGCGGGCCCACCACGAGGCCGCCGGTGATGAGGGCGATCCACATGGGCCCGATCATGAAGCCGCACAGGAAGATACGCGTGCCCACGTTGTTGTCGGGCGCGGCCACGACAGACACAACGATGTAAAGCAGTACCGCCACGCAGGCCCCGGGGAAGCGCAGGGCGCTGCGGGGCCGGGGCCGGGGGCGCAGCCGTTGCAGGAAGGTGGGGCAGAGGTTTTGAGGCGGATGCTGGGATGCCAAGGACGCACGGCGGGCACCGCGTGGTGGTTTCGGCGCTCCGACCGTTTGTGGCATGCGTATACGAGCGCGCGCGGTTGTGCGGCGCCGGGCCGCGGCCTGTCTTGCGCTCACTCGACCAGGACGAAGAGGGACACGAACAGGAGGCCGCAGGTCAGCTGCACCGCGCCCTGGAAGCTCTCTGACAGCAGGAAGACGCGCAGCGCGTCAACACGCCCAGGCTTCCAGTGCGTAAACGGCCGTGGCGCCGACCGCGCCGGCTTGTCCGCGGCGCCCATTCCGCCGTTTTTGAGGCGCCAGCTTTTGTGAGCGCTGCTTTTGCGGCGCGGAAGCCCTCGGTATCAGCGATGGCTGCGGGAAGCACGGCGCATCTCGCGATCGCCGCGCCACGCTGGAAGCGGTGTGTTCACGGTGTGGTGCCGCCTGGGTGTGCCGCCTTTAGGCTGGCTTTGCAATGATGCACAGCTCAACGATCTTCCCCTACTTATAGTATTCACACCGAACGTGAGGTCCCACCAGCTGACGCGGAACAGCTGACAATGATACGCTGCAATCGGCACACAACGATGTCGGTATGCACGATCGGGGCGACTCAACGGGTGCAGGAGATTGACGTGTACAGGGTGCACGTCCTGCATGTCAGTGGAGTGTGTCACTGGCGAGTTACTGATGCTACCTGCAGTTGCCCGGGTGCCGACACGAGCCCAAGGTCGTGTTCCAGACTCGCCCCACCCAAACCACGCCGCAGGACTTGTGGGTGCTGCTGCTGCCCCCTGTTCATGACGCCTCACCATTGCAAATGCGGAGTCAACGCTTCACAGCCCAGCAGAAGTTTTGAATGCTTGAATGCTGTGTCCTGCCAGACAACCGGTTGTCACACGGCTGCCCTCTGCCGAGCGCCACAAGAATTACCAAAGGAATGCGGCCTGAGTGTCGTGCCCGAGCGGGCACGTGTGCAGACAACGATGCATGGCAGTGGTGTCGCTGCTGCAGCCCGTCCCCGCATCGGATCCAATGCAGCGCAAAACAGCACTGCAACAGAGTGAGAGCTCATTAAACATTGCACAGTCACACATCCACAGTCGCCCACCCCACGCCCCTCTCTACTCGTGCTTGCGATGGGAGCCCTGCTGGCCCCCCTCGCCTGCGGCTGCCGCCGCTCGCCCAGCGCCTCTGCCACCGTCCCCGCTACCGCCGCGGCGCGGCAGCAAGAGCGCTCTCAGCGCCGCCCGCGCGCCCAACCAGATCACCGCCAGGGCTGCCAGGTAGACCAAGATCACGTCCAGCAGTATCACCTCATACCACGTCATGTCCTGGCCCTGGGTGTGCAGGAAGCTGCCGCTGCCCCGGGGGACCGCTAAGGCGTATGCCACCAGGTCGGCTGCCCGCTGGCCGGGGCTGACCGCGTGCGCCTTCAACCGCGCGGCCGTCAGCGCCGCCTGGATAGGAGGTGCCGTGAAGTTGACAGACGACTGAAATGGAGCACGAGCAGCGAGCCTCGTTTGTGGCTCGCACAAAGAGGCGGCGCAGTTCACAACCCCGGGAAACCCGTGCTCGTTCCGCACTCTCTGGCCCTCTGAACGCGCCGAATGCCACCCCACGCACCCGCCCCCTCCCAGACCAGCAGCCCCTCCCTGCACCGCCCCACGTCCCCCTGTCCCCACCGCCCCCTCACCTTCCCGTGGAAGCTGCTGTTCCAGGGCGCCACCTGCAGCACCGCCGCGGCCAGCCGCCCCACTTCGCCGCTCATGAGCGCGCCCTTGGGCACCACCAGGCCGCGGCCCTCGTCCTGCGCGCGCTGCACCAGCTCTCCCTGGCCCAGGGTTAGGGGGACGCCCACTATTGGGACTCCGTGGTAGGCCGCCTCCTGGACACTCAAGTAGCCACCCTGTTGGGGGGGGGGTGAATCGTGGTGGGGTCGGCGGGGTGCGGATGGTTGGTGAAGGTTGTATTGAGGGGGCGGCTGGTTTGGAGTGGCCAACGCAGCAGGGAAGGCCGGGGAGCCCTGAGGCAGGACACGAGGAACGCCCGTCAAGCCAGGTGCTCAAGGCCGGCCGGCCGGAGGAGAGGGGAATCAGGGGCGGGCTGCACGAGACACAGCCAAACCCGGGGCCTGCGGTTTCGGTCGGCCTGTAATACAGGCGCGGGCAGGAGCGCAGGCGGGACGCAGCGCGGCGGGAGGCCGCGCGAAGGCAGGGCGCTGCGATAGCCGCCGTCCTTTCCACGTCGGAAGTGCTGACTGCTCACGGCCCCGCCCCAGCCCCTTGTGCGCATGTTGGCGTGCGGACGATGCCTCCGCTCGAAGCCCAGCCCCCCAGCCGCGGACCCACTCCCTCCTTCACCCCCACTGCCCCGTCATCCCGCAACAGCGCACCTGGGTGACGAAGGCAGCCACCTTCGGGTGACCCAGCACGTCGTTCTGCGGGAATCTCTCGCGCACCAGCCACCCCTGGGGATCCGGCGAGAAGCCGCGCGCCGCCAGCGCCGCATCAAGCAGCTCCCGCTCCTGCGGGCGCATGCGCAGCAGCAGCCGCGCGCGGCCGGCGCAGGCGGCGAGCAGCGCGGCGATGGACGGCATCACGTCCGCGGGCGCCAGGAAGGACGAGCCAAACGAAAGGTACACCACCGGCAGCGCTGCAGTCACAGCCGCCTCGGCAGCGGCGCCGTCGCCGCCGTCGCCGGCGGCGCCGTCGAGCCATTGTTGGATGTCCTCGGGCAGCGGCGCGGGCGGGCGCGGCATGAGGGGCCCGATGAAGTGCGTGCTGGGCGCCACGGGCCGCGGCGGCTCCAGCGCCCAGTCAAAGTTGACCAGCAGCAGCAGCGGGCGGGAGGGGCCAGTGCCGGGCCGCGCCACGCCGTGGCGGCGGGAGAGGCTGCATGTCGGCGGGCGAGGTGTCGGGGCGGAAGGGTAAGCGGGTGAGAAGGTCACCCAGCACATCAACCCTCATGCGGGTGGCGGCCTTGCGGCCTTGCATACGGTGTCCAGTAATGATCTTGTGACGTCTGTCCCTGCACTAACGCTCCATGCCCCTGGGGGCATGCACACGCGTGCAAGTGTTGTTTTGCTATCTGCCGCACGCCGCCCCGCACCGCCGCGCCCTGGCGCCCCATGCACTCTCGGTCTCACCCGCCTATGGGACCCCAGTTCGTGTGGGCGTAGGTGATGGCCTTAGTCAGGGCTATGGTGGCCGCGTTGACGCAGCGCTGGCGCAATGTCATGCCCGTGCTGGGGTAGAAGGTCCCTGGGCAGGGGGAAGGGGCCCCCCATGCGCCTGTTCAGCCTCGGCATGACACACCGTCAGAATTGAAACAGTCTTCAGCGCGCCCAGAATTGGGCGGCCAGGCTCTCAAACTCTGCGGTCTTGGCATGCACACTGCCCTCGGCCCTGCTCTGCGCCGCACCCCGCCGCAACCACGCCGCAATGCCTCACCCGGCCCCGGGATGTACGCCGGGTTGAGCTGGCCCCCCCACAGCCCGGAGTGCAGCATGCCGCTGCTCGTCCCCACGTCGAACTCGACGCTGGGTACCCCAAGCTTGCCGCCCAGCCAGTGGCCGTAGGCGCCGACCGCGTCCCCCACGATCAGGTCCGGCGCGAGGTCCCTGATCTGACCCAGCAGCTTCTCGTCCCCTATGACTGATTCCGTGAGGCCCGCCAGGATGCGATAGCCGTAAAACATGGCCGCGATGAAGTTGGCCTTGCCGACCCGCGCCATGTCGTCGGCGAAGAGGTCGAAGCGCAGGGGATAGGTGAGGTAGGCGTGGCGGTGGCCGGGGCTGCGGGCGGCGGCGGCCGCGCGGGAGGCCTCCAGTAGCTCTTGGGATACGACCTGGCGGGCAGCAGGGGGCGATCATTAAGGTAGGTGAGGTGGAGAGGCATTTAAGGGGGTGGGGCAGGTGCACTTGGGGGCGGGGATGGATGGAAGAGGGGATTGATGAATGAGGCGGGCAGCCCTCATGCCACAAAACAGCCGGGTGATAGTGGTGGGGCATCATGGCTCACCATGTGGATGTCATGGCCCCCAATCGTCTCCAGCTCCGTGCTGAGCGCTGTGAACGCGCTGATGTGGGACTCGCTGCTGAGGGGCACGACTAGCAGGCGGGCGGCGGCCGCGTGCGACGGCGCGCAAGCCAGTAGGACCGCGCACGCCAGGAGCAGGGCGGCTGTCTTGCCTACAGGAGTCATCAATGGTCGCATATATTGTAGATCTGTGTGGGTGTTGCGATTACACACAAGATCAGCGATCTTGCGTCGTTCCTGCCAACGACACTAGCATTTTGCTGTTACCACGAATGTAACAGCAACTCTGTCATACCGGTAGTGAGCCTGACGTGCTCCCCTTGGCTGTGTCATCGCATCCCGTGAAGCTCTGACCGCACCAGGCTGCAGTACAGTCATGGCGGGGGGCGCCGTGCATGAGTGCACTGGTGTCGCCCCACGGGTTTGGCCCAACATGCCATCATGGTTGCTACGATGCATTGCGTTTGCTGGGGGCGCTGAGCTAGCCAGGACACGTGTTCCACTACCTCATGCCCCCCGCCCCCGCCATGCAAGCCCTGCGCCCTGCCCCGCATCAAGCCCTGTCACCAGAGCTGCCCAGATGCAGGCCAATGGGAAGGTTAAGCTTCCAGCTCATCAGCCCACCACCCTCAATTGTGCAAACAGAGGTACAACTATATGCCTAGACAAAGGAGGGGTACAGGTACTCTATCAATCAATCATGGCCCAATTTGCTGGTTTCAGCAGCCAACTGGGATGATGATAAGGTGCGGTCCCATTGGAACAGTGCGCGGCGATTTCTGGCGATGCCTCTCATCACTGTTGCATCAGAACCTTTCACTCACCTTTGGCAAGCACCATTACGACGGCGGTGCGGCCGGCGTGGTGCCCGACGGCGGTTGTGCGGAGGCAGGCGGCAGCTACTGGGCCATGGGCGTGTTTGGTGCACGCGCACGTGCGCATGTGTGTGAAGGGGGCGTTTGTTGGGCTGCTTGTTGCTGTTGCTGCTGCTGCACGGGAACCTGCACAATCTAGTGGTCACTTGTTGTTGTTTCACCTGTTGGGGGAACACGATCTATTATTGTGATGCTGAAGTGCTTGACCAGCCTTTGAGCTTGGTTTGACCGCGCCTACCCACTGGGTGTTCGACCTGTCAAAGCTAGAGACCAAAGAGTCCACGCTTGCTGGCGGCAGCCCGCTTGATGTGTTGCGCGGCGGCGCGTTCAGCGACCCAGTCGTGGGCATCAGCAGCCGGGGCGCGCGCCGGCGGCCGCGCCGGCGGCCGCGGTGGCGGTGCTGTGGGTGCGGGGCCGACGCCGGGGGCCTTGACTTGGGCTGCTCAGAAGGGCTGCTCAGAAGGGCGGCGGCGGCAGCTGCGGCGACGCAGGCCAGGATGGCGCCGGCGCGGGGAGCGTTCGAGCCGCTGGCTGGCTGGCCAGCGGTCAGGCGCATTGCAGCACAGCTACGCCACAGCTGGGGCAGGTTCAGTGATGCTTGGCGGGTCTGGCGGGCGACCGTAGGGGGCCCAGCCGTTGCGTCTGTTTGCGTGCGGCGTTGTCTTCTGGCCGCGCCCCGCGTGTGCAAATCAACCTGTGCGTGCCAGCAGCGCAACATCGTGCAGTCCACAGAATACGGCCAGTCAGTGGTGGTGGTGACCGAAGCAAAGAAGATCAAACAGGGACGACCAGACGGAAAGGGAGCCGGCGCGTTGGGAGCACGTCACGCCCGCATGGCCACCCAAGGGGCAGAGCTAGCCAGTTGCGCCAGCAAGGGTGCAGCAGGTCTGATGCAGAGTCGCAGCATTCAGGGGCGGCCTGGCAGCCCCGCACGAGAAAAGAAAATCACAGAAGGTAGATGGGCAGTCTGATCAGGTTGTGGTTGCGGCTGTGGGGCCGCTTTGGCTCCGCTGCCGCCTCTCCTGCAGCTCCCACTGCGCCGCCTCGCACTGCTGCCTGTGCCCCGTCCGCACCCAGTGGTTGCGGCAGCATGCCTGGCTGCAGTAGCACACGCCCGTCAGCGCGCCGCACCCCGCGCAGCGCCGCAGCGCCGCGCCCTGCGCGGCCGTCCTACCGCAATACGCACAGCCCCTCGCCGCGCGCGACCCGGCTGCGCCCGGCACCGCAGGTGCGGCTGCGCCCGCCCGCCGGCGCGCCCTGCGGGCGCTCTTGGCGGCGCAGGGGGCGAGCGGCTCGAAGTAACAGCCGCGGCAGTCGTCATCCTCATCCATTAAGCAAATGTGCTCCGCAGCCGCCTCAAGCAGGCAGGCCAAGACGCAGCTCCTCGCAGCGTCGACGGGCGCCGCAAACAGGGTGCACATCCCGTCGTCGAGCCCGGCGTCGCCCCACCCGCTGCACCCGCGCGCCACCGGCGGCGGCGCCCCGGCGTCGGAGGCGGGCGCGCACACCGTGCAGGGCGACAAGCCGCCAGTGAAGCCTGAGAGGGCAGCGTCGGGGG